CCCCCCCCCCCCCCCCCCCCCCCCCGCGCGCCGACCTGATGGCCGCGGGGCATTGAAACACAGACAGTCCGGAGGTAGTAGTTCCGCCAGGCGCTGGACTCACCATCAGAAATCCAAGATTCTGTGATGAACAGAAAATCCAACTCCTCATCATTAAAAAAGTCATTGAGGATAAACGTCTTGTTGGAAACAGACCTTGCGTTGATTAAACACATCCTGATATTGTCCAACACAGGCACAGCCGTGGATGGAGACGCGCGCGCCAGCGGGCGCAGGTTATGAAGAACAGCTCCTCCTGGTCTGCTGGTGTGGCGCACAGGTAAACAATTCCAGGTGTTTCCATGGACTGAGCGCGCGGGCAGCTGGCCAGCAGCCGGGCCCCGGGAGCACCACGGGTCAGAGAGGAGATGATCAGATCCAGAGCGAGTCCTGATAGAATAATCCACACTTTGCCTCAGTTTCACCAAAATCCCTGCACGCTTCCCACGACGTCTGCGACGTTTCCTCCATGGAGAAAGGCCAGGGTCACGCAGAAGGAACGCAGGAATCTCAGATAGGACCGGTGGGGGAGAGTGCTGGCCGCTGTTCAAAAACTCCGCGGGAATTTCAGCAAATGTACGGAGCTCCAAAAGTGCCCGACGATCATACTGAAAATATGACTTGGCACACTGCACAAACCATTGTAAAAATAACAAAAATAAAATACAAGCAGAGAGCGAGAGACGGGCAGCCCTACACACTGGCGCCATCTTGGAAAAAAAATCAAACAAAAAAAACCTGGTTATAACTTATAACTGGTTTGTTCCACTTTGGAGTAAGCTGTTGGAGGAAGAATCAGTTTTGTGTTGTGCGTTTCCTTGACTGATGAAACCTTCTGAATGGAAGGTGAAATGTTTCAGCACAAAAAAAAAAGAAACTGTCCAGATGGCCTGACTGAAAATTGTTGGATTGTATACCTGGATTGTTGAGTATGGACTTTGTTGGTCTTTAGTTTGTACTATAGCACAGTTCAAACTGGGCAACATATGGAAACATCAGCAGCTGTTTAAGCTGTCTGGTATGTGTGTGCCGGGTTTGGCAACACTCAGTCTGTTGACCTGTATCAGACCTGAGCAGGCAGGACTGTGAAACTTTTAAGGATTCAAGAATTTTTATTTGTCATTTGCATCACGTGGTACATGAAGTGGAACAAAATTGTGTACACATGGTCCCAGTTACATCAAAAAATAGCAAAAATATAAAGTGTAAAAAGAAACAGTAAATAAGGATCTGAGATATAAGCTGTATGTTAAACAAAAGCCCAACGGTTTGCTAAAAGATCTAAGATATATGCTAGTCACTAATAATGCAAAACATTACACCAAACAGCAGCAGCACGATTCTCATAGGTACTGTTGGGCTATAATTTACATGCTTGATGCGAGCACTAACATAAACTAAACTAACATAAACTGGGATTTATTCAAAGCCTGCAAAAAAATAAAATAAAATACAGAAACAAGGTGCCAAAAGTGAAAAAGAAATAAATCTACAGCAGCATGGTCCTATTGGCAGAGTGGTTCTGGTGACAGTGAGATTATCTTAGCAACATGGTCCTGTTAGCAGCATGATACTGTTAGCAGTGAGGTTCAGTTAGCAATGCGGTTTCTCTTTGCAACATGGTCCCATTGGCACCATGGTACTGTTAGCGGCATAGTTCAATTAGCAGCGTGATCTTGTTCGCAGCATTAGCAGATCTTGTTAGCAGGTCCCTTCAGCAGCATGATGATAATAAGGACCGCAGCAGCTACCTCCCAGACTGCCCTCCAGAACTGGGTCCAACAGACAGAGAGCATCCAAGGTTCTCCCACGGAACCAAGCGGGTCTGCAGAGTTCAGTCAAATCAGGCAGATGGAGGATCTTGTTAGCAGCATTTACAGGTCTAGTTAGCAGGTCCTGTCAGCAGCCCAATGGTAACAATGACCGCAGCAGCTGCCCTCCCAGACAGTCCTCCAGAACCGGGTCCGGCAGACATCCAGGTTTCCCTGCGGAACTGAACAGGTCTGTAAAGTTCAGTCCGTGCAGGCAGATGGAGGATCATGGAGACAGCCGCCATGACAGGCCTGAGCCCGAGGCTGGAAGGACTGAACCACAATGGCAGGATGGCAAGGCAGCGACACAGAAAACTCCACAGGTGTGTCGCGGTCATACCCGTACCGTGGATATGCATTGTAGGCGAAAAAAAAAGAGAGTTAAAACTAAAACAGAAACAAAAAAAGATAGAGTTCACCGGGAGCCAGTGAAACTGAGACTCGGCTGAGCGCGGCCATCTTGACAACTTTGTGGCAGTGTTCATGGACAGTTGGACGGAAGAGACCTTGGAGAATTTGTAAGACCGACTTTGGCGTAAGTAATCACAATTCGGCTGTTTGGAGTCGCCATGAGATGTACTAGCGAGGCTGTAAAAGGCAGACGCGGAAATTAAAGAGCTCAGCCTGACTCAAAACAACGTTGAAATCTGAATCTGGCTCTGGGAGACTGCTATCTCAATTTCTCCTTGGATGTTATGGAAACAAGACACTCTAATAACCCTCCTACACCCCCCCCCCCCAAAATGTATTATGTCTCTCTTTGTTGCTTGCTGAGGTAGATTTTTTTGCTACCTTACACTGTGCCCTGTGTCAAGGACACAGTGTGAGATCTTTTTTTATACCTTGTCTCATCATGTTTTCTTCCCTTTTCTTATCTAAGCGATAAGGGCAGCGCTCATAGGGAGCCGCAGCCCCAGTACACTTCCATCTATCTTTCAGACGGCTGTACAGAACGAAGTTTCACTGTACTTAACTGTACAAGGACAATAAAGTTGATTTTGATTACAAAGTGGAAGTTTAGCAGTTCAGTCTGCTTCAAATTTGTCAACGTGTCAAAAAGTTTGTTTTAGAAGAGCTGTAGGGATGTTGGTGAACCACGCTTGATGCCTTTAAGAAAGGCTGGAAAGGTAACCATTCTCTCTAATTATAAAAATGTTGGTTGACAATGTCTATAGGTCATACAACTTGGATACTATTGTTTAAAACCCCCCCCCCCCCCCCCCAAAAAAAAAAACAACAACAAAAAAACAAAACAAGTTTGACTCCAAAGCCAAAAAAAAAGAGAAAAAAAGAAAAGAAATGACAAGTGGTTCAAGTCTTTTTCACATCACTGAATTTATAATGACTAAGAATTCATCATGTAGACTAAAGTTATTTAAGTTTTTTTTAGATTCTTAGATGGAAAAAATTGCAATAAATTTTATTTGCACTTTTTCATACAACATAAATGATAGGAATTGGAATTTCGCACAAATTCAAAACAGAAAATGAAACTAAAAGAATTGCTTGACACAAGACATCTTCGTGTGAACGTCTTTAATCATCAAACATATGTGTTTTATACCACTTAGCCCTGGCAACAACGTCATTAGAGTAGTCTCGGCCCGTTGTGTTGGCGTCCACGTTTTCATACGAATGGACTTTTCTGTCCCCTATATTGTAGGCTGCTATTCCTCCTGCAGAAGGACAACGAAGAGACAGTGAAGATGAGTGAAGTGTTAAAAGCTGATGCATGCAAAAGTTTGCACATTCAACAAAAGTGACCTTTCAGCTGCTGCTCCTTGCTCCATCTTGGAAATTTTGTACGTATCTTGTCAATAAAATCGACCAAGATCTGAGTCCCTTGACGGAGATGTTCCTCACTGTTCCATTCACCTTTTGGAGTGTGCCCACCTCCTTCTGGGTTAACATCAACCTATAGAAATATGAAGAAATTTGGACCAATGCTCAGAACTTGTATTAGTGATTATTTAAATGATTTGTTTACAATCACAAGTGTGCAGCTGCCCAGGTTGGCATCTTGTCAAGGGTGGCATGAGTGACCGACCTCAGCCCTTGCCCTCAAAAAATAAAATGCATTATTTCATATAGCCTGCTAGCCTAAATGTCGGTTTCCTCTCACCCATTTGCAGGGAGTGGACATCCTCCGCCAGATGCAGGGCATGTAGCTTCTGCTGAGGTCTGATACAGGTTGTTAAAGAAGGGGAGGGGGTTATCTTGTCTACCTTGCTGGGGCAGGGATGTGTCTAATCACTAAATCACACCATTGATTGCTCCCAAACAAAGCACATTTCATTCATATTATTGTGAATATAGCCAATAGTTCACAGCTTATTTGTGTGAAATTGTGGAATAAAACACAAAAACAAATCTGCGCACCAAGAAAGGTGTATTAGTTTAGGCCTAATTTGTTTTGACTCATGTTGGAGAAGTGTCACTTACACAAATGGAAGACATACACCTCATGAACCTCTTGGAATCTAGCTGTTTTTTGTTTTGTTACCTTTTCCTTTTAGCCATCCTATTTGTTAAAAAAACAAACAAAAAAAAAAAAACTGTAGTATGCTTTTTTATAACTGTTTTGTTGTTGCTGTTGTCCATTGTTGTCATCTTTCTTTGTTGAAATCAGGTCTCTCTTGTAAATGAGTCCTCGAGGCTCAATGGGATTTACCTGTATAAATAAAGGTTGATTGATACAAGAATACAAAAATGGAAGACATACAAGAACAAGTCAAAGCCATCAGGTGCCCAGTATAGGAAAAAGAGAAAATAATAAGAGGAGAAACAAGTAACAGATAAAGGTATGCAGCTGTGTCATCTCTTGGAGCATGAAAGGTGTTATGTAGGTTAGACTGTTGCAAGATAGGCTTACTATTAATTAATGACATGAGACTCAAACCGTTGTGTTGATCTGCTTAGGATGATATATTTGCTCTTCAATAGAAAATATTACCTTATTGACGATTGAAATTCTTCTAAAACTGAACTACTACATGGGTAAGTAATATTAGAAGGTTGCGGAGCATTAAGTGTAGAATCAGTAGATTGAGGAACAGCTTCTACCCTGAAACTATTAGGCTCATAAATCCCTAACCAGGATCATTATGAAAAAAAAAAGAAAAATCACTGTAATGCCACTTTAATTGGTGATATGACTTATCTGTGCTGCTGATTATCCATGCTGCTAATCTCATGCTGCTGATTATCTCATGTTGCTGTATTCATTCATACCTATCTGCTCACCACTAGTCTAGGCTTAAACTACCAGAGGACAAATTGACCTCATTTCCTTAAATGATTAGCTAAAATTTAATAGTTTTCATTTGATACTATTTCCATCTTAACATGTGATTCTTGACCTGCCATTGTGTATCTGTTCCTACCAAATCCAGTCGGTCGAAGCAGATGGCCGCTTGTCCTGAGCCTGGTTCTGCTAAAGGTTTCTTCCTCGTGAGGGAGTTTTTCTTTTCCACTCTCGCCTTCATGCTTGCTCAAGATGAGAGTTCTGTGATGGAGTTAAATTCAAAGCAGTCTGCTCCTCAGATAAATAATGTTAAATTATTATTTTTATATATGAATGTTTCTGTTCAGTGACCTGAGACGACTTCTGTTGTGACTTGGCGCTATATAAATAAACTGAATTGAATTGAACCACAGATTCATGTTCGGGCTGCTGTTGTTACACCGTATGTGTTTATCCTAGATCTTTTAGCGTACCGTTTGGCATAATTTAGCATATATCTTAGTGTATATCTTAGATCCTTATTCACTGTTGCATTTTATACTTCATATTTTGCTATTCTGGGGTGTAACTGGACCCTGTGTACATAATTTCATTCAACCTCATGTACCACATGCAATGGAAATGACAATAAAATTGACTTGAACTTGATTAGGCTACTATAATTACTCAAGGCAATGATCTTGTGATGTAGCTTGGACTGTGTTAAATAGCGTTAAACTGGAAGAGGTGTTGATATGTCTCCTATTCGGAATATTTCACAAATTAGACATACATGTAGGACTGTTTGTTTTATCTTAGCTGTTAGCTATTTGCTATGTCAGTATGACAATCCATAAATCACTTCACATTACTTGGGAAAGTTATGTTAGCCTGCTGTAATTACTCAGTATTGCATTAGGCTACTTCTCAACAATGGTTTTATAGCCTATATAACCATTGTGAAGCAAAGAATTATGAATGTTTGATGCCTGGGTGGGTGGAGGGTTGGGGGGTATCAAACATGCCAACATCAAACTTGGGGGGGGGGGGGGGGGATATATAACATTTTGCATGTGTTCAGTTGTGCACTTTAATCTGTACACTTCATCTGTACACTTCACCACTTGCTTTTGCCGAGATCGGATGCTTCTCCCTCCCTCTCCGCTTTGCTTTGCTGCTCTGTCTGTGAAACTGCTTGTGAGCCTCTTTCTCATATCTTCCGAACCATAATTATTGACTGTTTTGATCATTTGGCCCCTCATCATGTTGCTGCTGATCTGTTTCATGTTGCTGCTGATCTGTTTCAATGTTGATGTGTTCATGCGTGCACATCTGCTCACAGACTCATGTTCATGTTTGTGCTGATGTTCAATGTTTTATGTTATGAGTGCTTAGTGTATATTTAGTTGATGTTTTTCTTAGTTCATATCTTAGATATTATTACTGTTTTTCTTAGACATTTTATTGTTGGATGTAACTGGGACCCTGTGTACATAATTTCGCTCCACCACATGTACCACATGAGGTGCGAATGACAATAAAGAAACTCTGACTCTGACTGACTCTGACTCTGACTCAACTCAATTTACAACATTTTCTTCGAAGAGAAGAAAGGCTTTAGGCGAGCCGATTTACCCTGTTGGCACGCACGCAGCTGGATATCTCATCGACTGGAAGACTTGATGATGTGTCTATCTCTGCTGCCATCTGTGGATTTTTTTTTTTTGATCCAGGTATTTTTTATTATCTTTTTTCAACAGCTAAATAAACAAACCAAACAAACAAAACAGGTATCAATACACTCCTCCCCTCCTTCCCCTTGATACCAGATATTCACATGAGAAAAAGAAAAAAACAAAACATGTTTAGAGTATATATAAAACTATACATACTTTGTATATTTGATAGTGGATCATTGGGCTATATATATTCAGCATAATATAATCATGAGTCAAAATCACAGGCTGACATATTCTCAACATAACTAATAAATGGTTGCCATGAAGTGTAGAATTTTCCAGCGCAACCTCTAATGGTGAACTTGATCTTTTCCAGATGAATGTGGCTCATTACGTCTTTAATCCATCCATCCATCCATCCATCCATCCATTATCTTTACCCACTTATTCCATTTTTTGGGTCACGGGGGTCGCTGGTGCCCATGTCCAGCAATCACTGTGCAAGGGGCGGGGTACACCCTGGACGAGTCGCAAGTCCATCACAGGGCCACATAGAGACAAACGAGACAAACAACCATTCACTCTCTCACTCACACCTAGGGACAATTTAGAGTTACCAATCAGCCTAACATGCATGTTTTTGGTCTGTGGGAGGAAACCGGAGTACCCGGAGAAAACCCACTCAGGCACGGAGAGAACATGCAAACTCCACTCAGAAAGGCCCCTGGAACAGGGTTTGAACCAAGGACCTGCTCGCTGAGAGGCAGCAGCTCTACCAGTTGCGCCACCGTGCTGCCATGTCTTTAATCCAGTGGCCAAATGTTGGAGGTAGAGGGTCCTTCCACTTGATGAGAATAAGTCCTCTCGCCAACAAGGAGGAGTACGCAATCATATTAGATTCTAGTTTATTCAGAGATAGATCAAGGGGAATTACGCCAAATAGTGAAATTAGAGGTGTAGGGTGAATCGTTTGTCCTGTTATTTTGGAAAAAGTTTCAAAAATTGAGCTCCATAAATCATGTAGTTTTGGACACATCCAAAACATGTGCAACAGAGTGGCTGGAGAAGTCTTACAACGGTCACATGTGGGATCCAGGTCTGTCTTGAATCTTGCGAGTTTGTCCTTTGACCAGTGAAGACGATGGACAACTTTAAACTTTATAATAGAATGCCTAAAAGACGATGATGAGGAGGAGATATTATTTAAAACTTGTAGCCAAGTGGACTGTAGTATAAACTCTCCCAATTCCCCTTCCCATCTTTGCTTAAGATCCTCCAGACTAGTCAATATATTTTCATTAAGCATTATATATATTTTACCCATGAGTTGCTTTGTACCAGCCTTGTATTTAAATATCAAATCTGACAGGGAAGAGGAGTAGTGTAGAGGAAAACATTCAGAGTTAGATGAGACAAATTGTCTAATTTGCAAGTATCTAAAAAACTGGGATCTGTGAATATTAAACTTCTGTGACAACTCTTGAAAAGAGGCAAATCTATTATTTATATATAGATCATTTAAAGACCACATTCCATATTTCACCCAACTGTCAAATGCCCTGTCCATAACCGAAGGTGTAAACAGGTGGTTTTTTGCTAATGGAGCAGACAGCCACATCTCAGTAAGATTAAAGGCTCTTTTAAATTGATTCCAAATTTTGACTGAATGAATAATGACAGGATTCTGTGTATACAAAGAGATTGTTTTTTTAAATGGTAGGCCGGAGCACAATAGAGCTGCAAGAGACGTTTGTATCGTTGAGCTCTCCTCCAAATCTGCCCAGCTGGGTTTGACATCGTCTCTACTCAACCAGTAAAGTAGAGGCTTGATATTTGCTGCCCAATAATAGTAGAGGAAATTTGGCAGGGACAAGCCACCAGTTGTTCGAGGTAAACGTAGAATTTCTTTCTTTACACGTGGTTGTTTCTTATTCCTTATAAACTGGGATATCTGACTATCTAGGTTGGTGAAAAAGGATTTTTTCAGGTAGATGGGTATACATTGGAACAAAT